GATGCCTTAGTAAAAGCTCTGTTAGTTATTTCTGTGAGAAGAGGCACATTTTTGAAAATTATTCATGGCGTTACAATCAAATAATCCATCTTTTTTTACTCCCAAATCAATTGTCATGGTGTGCTGACAGTGTCAGGATATGATGATATTACTGTACGTTGGATGAATGCCTGTTGAAGTTTGATTTCAAACAGACATTTTCTTGACATCACACCAACATTTCTATGAGTCTGTATCAATTTGAATTTTTAGTGCTCTAAAAATGTTGGAATGAAATGGGTCAATTAACATTCATCAAACATCTCTGTCATCACTACACATTTTCACTTTTTATACTCATTTCCCACAATTTATTGGACATGATATCTGGTATATGTTAGGTTTGTTTGTCATGCCTACTTTATTATGAACCATCAACATATGGCAACCTATAAGATGAAAGTTTGCTAAATGCCATTGCTAGCTATATTATAGGCCCTTTTGTTAAAACCTTTATGTATTTTAAAATGTATCGAAATAATACTGTGCTATTTTGCATATAAGAAATAATGAATTATTATTATCATTATTAAAGTATTAATTATTCCATTATTATATTCACAGTGTCTTTTGGTGAGGTACTTGAATGCAGCACCAGTTTGTAATTTTAATAAATTAAAGTATAATGAAGTTGGACTTGGTTTATGTGGTTCTAATGGTTATGTCACATTATGGCATTGCCCCTCGTGTCATCCTGGTTATGGAGAATTAGAGGAATGTGGGAGAAGGTATCCTGAAGGGACTAAAGTTGGATGTGTTGAATGCATTGCCAATCATACGTACTCAGACACCTACGACATTAGTCAGTGCAAGCAATGTACTCGTTGTCAAGAAAATGAAGTTCAGAGTGGACAATGTACACAAGAAAATGACACTATACGATGTACCTGTAAACGTGGTTATTATAGGGACAGAGGACACTGCAAGCCCTGCAGCCGGTGTTGTGGGGATAAGACTAATGAGAAGGTACCTGAATGTAATATTCCACAAGTAGTGCCAATGGGAAAACAATGTTCTTTACAGACTGCAAAAAATTGTGCTCCAACGACTCCTGCACCAAGTACCATATCAATTACTACTTATAGTGGTGGAAAGGATAGTGGAGAGAGCACATTATTTCAAAACAATGCATGGATTACAGGAACAATTGTCGTAGTGGTCATTATCTTTCTCGCTCTGCTGGCTACATTTTGTTGCTGCAAAAGAAGCAGTAAGTTTTTATAACTACTTACCTTTTTATAATTATTACTATGCAGTAAAAAATCTCTTGTGACATCTTTCTTGACAGCTACTGTGTAGTTCCATAAAATATCCATACCCCACCCACAAAGTAAATTGGAAGT